ACCTCCACCTCCCAAGTTGAAGTGATTCTCCTGCCTCAGCCACCCTAGCTGGCATTACAGGCATGTGCCACCATGGCCCACTAATTTGTGTATATTTTTTTAAGATACGTTTTTGCCATGTTGACCAGCCTGGTCTCTAACTCCTGACCTCAGGTGATCTGCCCTCCTCGGCCTCCCAAAGTGCTGGGATTACAGGTGTGAGCCACTGCACCTGGCCACAAAGTCTAATTTTTGAAATTAAGTTCAATAGAAATAAAGTTACCCTGTCAAATTGCTGTAAAAGTTTTTAAATGCTTGCTCTCAATTTCTATGCTTATCTCCTCTCAGATCAGTTTGTAGATTGGCACCAGTTCACAGACTACAGTGGGAGTAGCATTAGTCTAGGGAACAACTTCTGTTGAAATAGCCATCAGAATGAAAAGGAAGGGCAGATTTTCAGTAAAGTATTGCGTAATCATATTTTATGATTCACTTTTACTAAACTCATGGAAGGATGACATATAAGCCCAAATGCCAGTGCATTTGTAATGGCATAATTCCTTTACAGGATCAGAATATGTAGGAAGCCAAATTAATAATTGACAGCTTGTTTGTTTAGCAAAGAACCAGAGAATAAGAAAGTAAATAACCTTAAGGGACATTTCAAGGCCATGAGTGCAGCCTAACAGAGTAATGGAAGCAGGGACTCTTACAGTTAAGCCACTGGAATTTGAATTCCAGCTGCATCACATAATACTTGTATGACCCTAAGCTTTCTGAGGCTGCATGTCCTGATTTTGATAATGGGGATAACATCAATCTGGAGAGATTTATGAAAGGATTAATATAGTGCTTAATACAGTAGCCAACACATAGTAAGCACTCAATAAATGTCAGTCAGTTATTAATACTATCCTAAAATAAGGTGTATTTCTACAACAACCAGCATGTTTAGTACAGATTCAATGCCTCTTCCCTAGACAGTGCCTGATAAACACTGACAACCTTCAAATCTTTAGACCTTTCTCCTCTGTGTAGCCAATCATCATCTTCCTTCTGTTCTCACAATCTTCCTCTGGGCAGATAAAATAAAATTGATTTTGTTTCGCTTACAATCACATTCCAGGGCAGCCTCCCTTAGGTTATACCCAAGTCACCTTGGGTTTTAGATGTTTCCAAACGTTTAGAGGCAATTTCTTGGTTTATAGCCACAAACATGATATATAAACAACTTTAAGTCCCCAGGGAGCTTCTCACTGGTTGGGCATTATATTCTCACATTTGATGGCTAATAAATACACATTGAAAGTAAATTATAATCAGATTAACTATCCAGGAACACGGAATCACAATGAAAGTGGTTATAATGTTTTTGACAATTGCCGTCAGGTTAGGATAAGCTGGTGTTTCTATCTCTGCTGCAGAAAGTACAATAAGGCTACAGACCTATCAGTGCAACCTCTTTGAGCATTTATCTGAAATGATTTTTCCCCAACTGCAAGAGCAACATTTTTGGAAAAAAAATTACAAAATATAGGAAGTTACAAATAAAAAATTGTTTATCATCACATCACCCAGTGACACCCATAAAGTATTTAAATGTCAGTTATTACCTGTTAACATTTTAGTTTATTTCTTTCTCTTTTTTCATAGTGTTATTTCTCTTTATTTAACATTACAATTATTTCTTTATGTTAAAGACATTAAGTTTTTCTTTTTTTTTTTTTTTTTTTTTTTTGAGACGGAGTTTTGCTCTTGTTTCCCAGGCTGGAGTGCAATGGTGTGGTCTCGGCTCACCACAACCTCCGCCTCCCAGGTTCAAGTGATTCTCGTGCCTCAGCCTCCCGAGTAGCTGGGATTATAGGCGCCATCCACCACACCCAGCTAATTTTGTATTTTTAGTAGAGACAGAGACAGTGTTTCTCCGTGTTGGTCAGGCTGGTCTCCAGCTCCTGACCTCAAGTGATCCAACTGTCTTGGCCTCCCAAAGTGCTGGGATTACAGGCGTGAGCCACCAAGATAGTTTTAATATCTGAAAAGTATTTCATTATATAGATACTTCAAGTGATATCACCCACTATGAGTTGATTTTTTAACTAATTTCTATCTCAGAGTCTGAGTATTCTAACAAATTCAACAAAACAGTGCAAATATGTGTTTAGCACATAGCTTGGAAAACAATAAGAGCACAATAAATTTTAGCTATACTTGCTGTTATAGTAATCTATCAAGAGTTTAATTGTTCTCTTAAAACCTAAATACACAATTTTTAGGAGTCCCGCTGCTGTATTCTCAAAACCCTCAGAAATAGTGTCTTTCTCTAAGTATAATTTGAGTGCCTTTATTTATTTTAAGTTTCTGGTTTATTCCTTACAAACATATTGCTAATGAAAATGTGAAATTACGGAACTTTTCATCAGTGTGCCTATACATTCAGCACCACAACATAAAATAGGCTCAAAATCATGGCCTTATATCTCTGGCCTTTGACAACAATTTGGAGGCAGTGAGGCATTTTGTGATGTAAATCTTCTCCATTGTATTTCCATATTTCTAATCTCTCCACTTTCTCTGACTCCACTGTCCTGATCATAGTCAACACCAATATTGCCTTCCATTTGACAAGGGAGGAAATCTCAAGTGTTTCACCCTGTTAAAATAATTCTACTCTAGGGCCTTCTCCAATCCATTCTCCACAGAACAGAAAAACAATTTTCTTAAAACACATTTCCTGATATGTGGTGTGATTCACTGTCCCTGAAATAAATCCAGACTCTTTCCATGGCCTGCAAGGTCTTGCATGATCCAGTCCCTGCTAGATGTCTGGGCTTATTTCCTTTGCTTGTATTGCTGCAGTCCCTCAGGTCTTCCAACTCCTTGAGTACCACCAAACTCCCACCTGAAATTTTGTGTTGTCATTTCCTCCACCAAAAATATCTCTCTTCCTCCCCCTCTTTTTGTGATTCATTCTCATCATTTAGATCTGGATCTCCTGGGAGACACCACCCCTGACTTCACTGTCTAAAGTAAGTCACCCCAGCCATTCTGTTGACCTCCTTCACAGCACAGATTATAAATATATTCTATGCTTATTTACTTGTTATTTTCTCTCTTTCCTCATCTGTATATAAATTTCACTGGGGCAGAAAACATGTTTATGTTTTTCATAAGATAGCAGAGTGCCTGGCATATGCTAGGCATTTAACACATATGTGCTGGGGAAGGAGGGAAGGTTGACAGCCACAGCTGTGGATGTAGGTGAAAACCCCAAGGAAAGTGGAAAGTGAGTCCAGGAGGCCCTAGGACAAAACTCTAGTGAACACCATTGTTAATGGGATTAAGAGACTAAGAACCCTGCAAAGAAAACTTAGAAAAACTGGGAATGGGATGCCCTAATAGAATTTTATGTGGGAAAGCAATATGATAGAATCCAAATAAATAGTGGTTGAGTATTTATTATGTGCATTAATATGTCTGAGGATTAAATAAATACATTATAGGACAACTATATTTAATGATGGTTCACGCTTGTAATCCCAGCACTTTGGGAGGACAAGGCAGGCAGATCACTTGAGATCAGGAGTTCGAGACCAGCCTGGCTGACATGGAGAAATCCCATCTCTACTAAAAATACAAAAATTAGCCGAGTGTGGTGGCAGGTGCCTGTAATCCTAGCTGCTTGGGAGACTGAGGCAGGAGAATCACTTGAACCCGGGAGATGCAGGTTGCAGTTAGCCAAGATCGCGCCATTGCACACTCCAGCCTGGGTAACAGAGCGAGACTCTGTCTCAAAAAAAAAAAAAAAAACCAATTTCAAAAGGCTTATACTCATTTTCTCTTTTGTTCAGTATCTTCCAACCATGAATGGAACTATAGAAATACACGAAGATAGCAATGTTTGTTGAACATCCCTAGTTAAAAAGCAACTGTGTCAGGATAGGAAAAAAGCATGACTATTGTAGCTTTTGTTAAATAAATATTATTATGCTTGCAGGAAATTGTTCAACAACATTTCTCCTTATGTAAGGCCTGCCCCAGTAATGCTGCTTAGGTCAGTGTCTGTCTGGATTATCTGCAGCCTAAATGCCAACTCTGTAAATTAAACCTGTCAAGTGACAGCTTTGCCATAGCATGCACATCCAACCTTTAAAATTTATTTATACTCCATTCCCTTTCTCTAGCCAGATTAAATTCTCCTTTCCTAAGCTATTTTTGCCTCAGTTCAGACTGTGGCATAATTCAACATGTTCTAAACAATCACATGGAGATTGTGGCCTTCCTGATTTTCAGTTCCCAAATGATTTTTATTCAGGCTATAGAACAGCAACAGAAATTTCACCAAATTTACTAAAATAAGAAGAGTCTTCTCAAACCAGATTCCTCCAGGTACCAGTAGGCAAATCAGTCATGAGTTATTTATAGATTCATAATAAATCCTTTATTCAGTGCCCCAAGGAAATGGTGACTTTCAGCATGGAAATGAAAAGTATTATCTTACTAATCAATCTGTCCTTAATTTCTTTTTTGTTTTTCCTTGAGAGAGAGGGTCTTTGGTCTGTTGCCCCAGATGGAGTGCAGTGACATGATCACAGCTCACTGCAGCCCCGAACTCCTGGGTTCAAGCAATCCTCTGACTTCAACCTTCCAGGGAGCTACATCTACAGGAATGCACCATCATGCCCAGATAATTTTTTTTCTTTTGTAGAGACAGGGTCTGACTGTGTTGACTACATCTTAATACGCATACTAAGTCCTTAACATGCATACTAAGCTCCTATAGAAGTAAATACTATATTAAGCGGCAGAATTACTAACGTGAATACACATTCTCATTTGATTTGGAGACTACCTAGGCAACTTTCAGGTTTATATTTAGATTGATTACAATTAGACATGAAAAATAAGGGACAGAGAATGGGCCTAATAGAGACTGATTGAAGAGAATTGTTTCTTAAAATAGACTTAAAAAAAAAAAAAGTTGTTCAAAATTGCCTTAATCAATTTTACAGAAAAAATATTACCTCAAATGGTTTGATTTGATGACTTGATAAGATGTCATTTCTGATGCAGCAGGATTCATTTATTAAGATAAACATTTACATCTGTAGTACCCTCCTAGGTGGGTGACTGTTTCTATATATCTGACTCTGAACAAAACACAGTAGCCTACAGGCAGCTATTGACCTTTGGACTTTGTCTTTAGGCCAGATTCCTTAAAAGGCTTGTTGTGACAAGTTTATTTGCTCATTGGAAATTTCTGTGTCTAAAATTCCCACTGAAATTAGGATGTAGCACTGCTACAGCGTTTTGATTATTCATCAAAACTTATTCAAAAGACTTTTGATAAAACTTTAAAACTTTAAATCAATGTCTTAAGGAAGAATATTAAGTCACTTTTTAACATAGAGCATGTTTTAGTTTTGAATAATATTTACGCAGTGCAAATTATATGTTCATAGAGATTCAAGCATAGGCATACCTTGGAGATATTGCAAGTTCATCTCCAGACCACCACAATAAAACAAATATTACAATAAAGGAAGCCACATGCATTTTTTTGTTTCCCATTTACACTACTTTGTTGTCTGTTAAGTGTGCATAGCACTATGTCTAGAAAATGTACATACCTGTTTTGTCCCACTGAACTATCCATAGCTGGAGTTGCCTTAAAAGCAGCAGCAGGAGAATTCCTGCAAGATAGTACCCCAAACCATTTGGAGACAGGGCTGGTTTGAGGTTTCAAAGAAAGAAGCTCCAAATGCCAGAGTGATCAGTCCAAAACATTTATTAAAGAAACTTGCAGGGTGTTGCAATGTATCATTGTGATGGACAGCAAGAGAAAAGGGTTGTTTTACCCACATAAGTCTGTAGTCAGGGGGTGAGAAGATGGAGTTTACATGAAAATTTAAGGAATTTGGCTCAGGGTCGGGGTCAGTTTCTTTCCAGTAAACCTAGATACTATTATCAGTGCCTGGGAATGTTCAAGCTGGTTTGGGTTCAAGCCAGCAGATGAAAACCTATGGCTACGGCTGGTGGGTCACTGTGATTTTGGTCAGGACATAGAAAGGAAGTGGGGGAAACGGGTACCCTACAATACCTTAATTTAAAAATACTTTTGCTAAAAAATGCTAACAATCATCTGAGCCTTCAGCAAGTCACAATCTTTGCTGTTGGAGAATCCTGCCTCAATGATGATGGCAGCTGACTGATCAGGGAGGTAGTTGCTGAAGGTTAAGGTGGCTGTGGCAATTTCTTAAAATAAGACACTGGAGTTTGCTGCATTGATGACTCTTCACAAAAAATTTATCTGTAGCAGGCAGTGCTGTTTGACAGTATTTTACACACAAGAGAACACCTTTCAAAGTTGTAGTCAGTCCTCTTAAAACTCGCCCACTGCTTTATCAGCTAAGTTTATGTGATATTATAAATTCTTTATCATTTCAACAATGCTCACGGCATCTTCACCAGTGGTAGATTCTATCTCAAGAAACCACTCTCTTTTCTCCTTCATAAGAAGCAACTCCTCATTCATTCAAGTTTGATCATAAGATTGCAGCAATTTAGTCACCTCTTCAGACTCTGTTTCTAACTCAAATTATCTTGCTATTTCCACCATATCTGTAGTGATTTCCTCCACTGAAGTCTTGAACCCCCTCAAGGTCATCCATGAGAGTTGGAGTTAACTTCTTTCAAACTCCTGTTCATGCTGATATTTTTACCTCCTCTCATGAATGTTCTTAATGGCATCTAGAATCCTTTCCAGAATGTTTTTGGTTTACTTTGCTTAGATCCATCAGTAGAATCACCATCTATGGCAACTTATAACCTTATGAAATGTACTTAAATATTAAAACCTGAAAGTCAAAATTAATCCTTGATCTATGGGTTGCAAAATGGATGCTGTGTTAGCAGGCATGAAAACAACATTAATCTCCTTGTACATCTCAATCAGAGCCCTTCAATGACCATGTGCGTTGTCAACAAGCAATAGTATTTTTAAATAAATCATGTTTTATCAGTAGGTCTCAACAGTGGACTTAAAATATTTAGTGAGCCACGCTAAACAGATGTGCTGTCAACCAGATTTTGTTCTTCCATTTATAGAGCACAGCAGAGTAGATTTAGCATAATTTTTAAGGGTCCTAGGATTTTCAGAATGGTAAATGAGCACCTGCTTCAACTTAAAGTAACCAGCCACATCAGCCCCTAACAAGAGAATTGCCTGTCCTCCAAAGCTTTGAAGCCAAGCATTGACTTCTATAGCTATGAAAGTCCTGGATAGCATCTTCTTCCAATGAAAGACTGTTTTGTCTACATTGAAGATCTGTTAATTAGTGTAGCCACCTTCATCAATGTTCTTGGCTAAATCTTCTCAATAACTTGCTGCAGCTTCTCCATCAGCACTTACTGCTTCACCTTTCATTTTTATGTTAGGGAGAGGGCTTCTACTTTTAAACCTCATGAACCCACCTCTGCTATCTTCAAACTTTTCTTCTACAACTTCCTAACCTCTCTCAGCCTTCATAAAAATGAGGAGAGTTAAGGCCTTGCTCTGGATTAGGCTTTGACTTAAGAGAATGCTGAACTCTAAAACTTTCTCCTTATCAACAATGAGACTGTTTCACTTTCTTATCATTCCTGTGTTCACTGGAGTAGCACTTTTAATTTCCTTCAAGAGCTTTTCCTTGGCATTCACAACTTGACTGTTTTGGGTATGAGGCCTAGTTTTCAGCCTATCTCTGCTTTCAACTTGCCTTACTCAGCTTAATCATTTTTAGTTTTGATTTAAAGTGAGAGATGAAGGACTCTTCCTTTCACTTGAACACTTAGAGGCCTTTGTAGGGTTATTAATTGGCCTAATTTCAGTATTGCCATGTCTCGCTGAGGGACTGGCTGATCAGCGGAGCAGTCAGAATATATACATTTATCAAATAAGTTTGCCATCTTAAATGGGTACAGTTTGTGGTGGCCCAAAACAATTCCAATAGTAACATCAAAGATCACTGTTCACAAGTTGGCATAACAGATGTAATAATAATTTAAAAGTTTGAAATATTGGGAGAATTACCAAGATGTAACACAGAGACATGAAATGAGTACATGTTATTGGAAAAATGGCTCTGATGGACTTGACAAAAAGCTGTCACAAACCATCATTTTGTTAAAAAAAAAAAAAAAGTATTTGCAAAGCACAATAAATGAAGGCATGCCTGTATACTACATATTTATTTTAATAATCATATAAGAAAATTAATTGGATATAAAATAGACTGCTCTAAAACAGCAAGAGGGAAATAAACTTTAACAATGCTGACAGTAGCCATGGCATACTTGAATTTTTAGGACTCTTGTTAAATATGGGTATGGGAACTTACCCTCCGCACCAGTATCCAGACACTTACTAGATTATGGCGCATTGGGGTATTTGCCTCTACTAAGTATATTTGCTAGACTGTCATTATATCTTGCAATCTAGTGTCTTTTTCTAGGTTGGTATTGTCCCATTTAATCTATCATTGCAATGATATTACTCTTGCTATATTAAATGTTTTTATCAGACTTCCTTGTAGCCCCAACCAATCTGAGAAGACTGAAAATCAAGGAATCCTTCACTCCTTTTGTAAACTTGGTATAAATGGAATCAATGTTTACTAGATCTGCTGTTCTGGCAAAGATTTCTCTGTTCTTCTTCATCAAGATTTGCCAGTCTTCCTCTGCACTCTTGCCTTCTGCAGTCTTTCATCTTCCATAAAAACATTCCTTATAATATTCTTTTTTTGAAATGAAGTCTCACTCTGTCTCCCAGGCTGGAGTGCAGTGCCACGATCTCAGCTCAATGCAGTCTCTGCCTCCCGGCCCTCCAGTGAGTCTCCTTCCTCAGCCTCCCAAGTAACTGGGATTAGAGGTACCTGCCACCATGCCCAGCTAATTTTTTGTATTTTTAGTAGAGATGGGATTTCACCATATTGACTAGGTTGGTCTTGAACTCCTAACCTCAAGTGATCCACCCACCTTGTTCTCCCAAAGTACTGGGATTGCAGGCAGTATGCCACTACGCTCAACCTCCTTATAATATTCTTCTAGTCTTATTTCCCAACTGTTGGCTCTTATGTTTTGAATCGTCAGTAGAAAGTCCTGCCTATCGTGATGAGGTCAAGGACACATGTTTTGCTGAGAGAAGTAACTTCCAGCCGAGAATCTTGTTTAGCAGGAGGGAAAATCCTCTATATTAGAGCTTCTCCTGGAGCTCAGAGTAAGCACTGACTTTTAGAGGTGTTTTCTCACTTTTTGATGTCTGAAAGCACTATTTTCAAGTTTGTTAGAGACCCACTTTAAAAAAGTACAGGTGCTAATGCTCTGAGTGCAAGTCTGTAAGGGTTAGTGAGTCCTCAAATCACAGGAGTCTCCTGACCAATGTTGGGATGTTCTACTGTTCTCTAAGAATCTGCAGCTTAACAGTATTAAACTCAATACAGCAGACACCCTCAGCATAGCAGTGAACCGCAATGGCAGCTGACAAAGAAGCAGGAACATTTAATGGACTGGTCAGTAAGACCACACTTACGTCTTGTTTAAAATGTGTCCTTTCCTTTGGGAGGCTGAGGCAGGCAGATCTCTTGAGGTCAGGGGTTCAAAACCAACCTAGTCAACATGGGGTTTTCTAAAAGTACAAACAAATTAGCCAGGTGTGGTGGCAGGTGGCTGTAATCCCAGCTACTTGGGAGGCTGAGGCAGGAGAATCGCTGGAACCCAGGAGGCTGAGGTTGCAGTGAGCCAAGATCGTGACACTGCACTCCAACCTGGGCAACAGAGCAAGACTCCATCTCAAATAAATACATAAAATAAAATAAAGTACGTCATTTCTCTCAACAGCAAAAGCCTTATTTTTTCATCCTTTAAATATATTACTTCCATCGTAGAATAAGATGGTACCTGGTCTGAGAGGCTAAGACCCCCATGCCACTTGAGAATTTGAGAGCTTTTAGAACTTGATGAGCATAGCTGACTGGATACTTCATGTCAGCACTGCTTGTGGTAATTACAGGATCTGTGGATCACAAGGCTCACAACTTGTATCACAAGTTCTACAAGAAAATTGGCTAACACAGATTTGGCTCTGTTAATCATTTGCTGAGTTTATATCTTGTCCCACCAAACATATTTTTTGAAACGCCATTACATGAAAAAGTTTCATTATTCCAA